AGGATTTGGGATCTCAGTGTTGGGGATCCCCAGGATTTGGGTTCCTGCTGCTGGGGATCTCCAGGACTGGGGTTTTCAGGGATGAGCATCCCCAGAATTTGGGTTCTTGGTGCTGTGGGTCCCCAGGGTTGGGGTTCTTTGGGACAGGGATCCCCAGGATTTGGGTTCCCAGTGCTGGAGATCCCCAGGATTTGGGATCTCGGTGCTGGACATGCCCAGGATGGGATTTTTTGGCACAGGGATCCCCAAGATTTGGGTTTGGGATCTCGATGCTGGATATCGCCAGGATGGGTTTTTTTGGCACAGGGATCCCCAGGATTTGGGTTCCTGGGGCTGGAGATCCCCAAGATTTGGGATCTTGGTGCTGGGGATCCCCAAGATTTGGGTTTGGGATCTCGGTGCTGGACATCCCCAGGATGGGTTTTTTTGGCACAGGGATCCCCAGGATTTGGGATCTCGGTGCTGGGGATCCCCAGGGTTGGGATTCCTTGGGATGGGGATGCTGGGATTTGGGTTCCTGGGGATGGGGATCTCCAGGACTGGGGTTTTCAGGGATGGGGATCCCCAAGATTTGGGTTCTTGGTGCTGTGGGTCCCCAGGGCTGGGGTTCTTTGGGACAGGGATCCCCAGGATTTGGGTTCCCGGGGCTGGGGATCCCCAAGATTTGGGATCTCGGTGCTGGACATCCCCAGGATTTGGGATCTTGGTGCTGGACATCCCCAGGATGTTTTTTTTTGGCACAGGGATCCCCAAGATTTGTGCTCCTGGTGCTGGGGATGCCCAGGATTTGGGATCTCGGTGCTGGGGATCCCCAGGGTTGGGATTCCTTGGGATGGGGATGCCCGGGATTTGGGTTCCTGGGGATGGGGTTTTCAGGGATGAGCATCCACAGGATTTGGGGTCTCGGTGCTGGACATCCCCAGGATGGGTTTTTTTGGCACAGGGATCCCCAGGATTTGGGTTCTCAGTGCTGGACATCCCCAGGATTTGGGATCTCGGTGCTGGATATCCCCAGGATGGATTTTTTTGGCACAGGGATCCCCAGGATTTGGGATCTCGGTGCTGGACATCCCCAGGATGGGGTTTTTGGCACAGGGATCCCCAAGATTTGGGTTCCCGGGGCTGGGGATCCCCAGGATTTGGGATCTCGGTGCTGGAGATCCCCAGGATTTGGGATCTCGGTGCTGGGGATCCCCAGGATTTGGGATCTCGGTGCTGGACATCCCCAGGATGGGGTTTTTTTGGCACAGGGATCCCCAGGATTTGTGTTTGGGATCTCGGTGCTGGATATCCCCAGGATGGGGTTTTTTGGCACAGGGATCCCCAGGATTTGGGATCTCGATGCTGGACATCGCCAGGATGGGTTTTTTTGGCACAGGGATCCCCAGGATTTGAGATCTCGGTGCTGGGGATCCCCAGGATGGGTTCTTTGGCACAGGGATCCCCAGGATTTGTGTTTGGGATCTCGGTGCTGGGGATCTCCAGGATGGGTTCTTTGGCACAGGGATCCCCAGGATTTGGGCTCCCGGGGCTGGGGATCTCCAGGAGTGGGGTTCTGGGGGCTCGGCGTCGCGGCTGCGGGCGGTGCCGGGGTTGTGGCCGCGGCGCCGTCGCGGCTGTCCCCTCACCGTGGCCTGTCGCAGCGGGGTGTCGCTGGCCCGCGCTCACTTCGAGAAGCAGCCGCCGGCCAACCTGCGCAAGTCCAACTTCTTCCACTTCGTGCTGGCCATGTACGACCGCCAGGGCCAGCCCGTGGAGGTGGAGCGCACCTGCTTCATCGACTTCGTGGAGAAGGAGCGGGTGAGAAACCCCCAAAAAACCCAAAAAACCCCCAAAACCACCCCAAAAAAACCCCCAAACCACCCCAAAACTCCCACGGGGCCGCTCGCAGCGGGGAAGAGCAGCCACGGCCCAGCCCGGAGCACGGGTGAGAAACCCCCAAAAAACCCCAAAACCACCCCAAAACCACCCCAAAAAAATCCCAAAACCACCCCAAAACTCCCGTGGGGCTGCTCGCAGCGGGGCAGAGCAGCCACGGCCCAGCCCGGAGCGTGGGTGAGAAACCCCCAAAAAACCCCAAAAACCCCCAAAACCACCCCAAAAAAACCCCAAAACCACCCCAAAAAAACCCCAAAACTCCCATGGGGCCGCTCACAGCGGGGCGGGGCAGCCCGGAGCGCGACCCCAACTCATGGCACGAGTGGCCCCCAGGTGGGGTGGGAGGGACACAGAGTGACCAGGAGGGGACACGGAGTGACCAGGAGTGGACACGGAGTGACCAACTGACCCCTGGCCGTGAATTTTGTCCCCCCGCCTCAAGGAGCAGAACGGGGAGAAAACCAACAACGGGATCCACTACCGGCTGCAGCTGCTCTACAGCAACGGTGGGCGCGGGGTTTTGGGGGGCTGCGGGTGGCTTTTGGGGTGTCCCCAAGGGGAGGTGACAAGCGGGGTGACCCCTCCGCTGTCCCCGCAGGGCTGCGCACCGAGCAGGATTTGTACGTCCGCCTCATCGACTCCATGTCCAAGCAGGTACCGAGACCCCAAATCCCGCCCCCCAAATCCCCCCCCCCCGGCCCCACCCGCCGGGAACATCTGGATGTCGCTGCGGCCACATCTGGGCGGGGCGGGGAGGTGGCGCAGGTGACAGGGCTCGGGAGCGCCTCCCCGGTGCCACCCCGGTGTCGCCGCTGTCCCCTCGGTGTCCCCTCCAGGCCATCATTTACGAGGGGCAGGACAAGAACCCCGAGATGTGCCGGGTGCTGCTGACCCACGAGATCATGTGCAGGTGGGCTGGGACAGCCGGGGGGTGACACGGGTGTCCCCAAGGTCCCTTCAGGGCCCGCTCGTGCTTAACGGCGCCGTGCTAATTAACCAGCAGAGCCAGCGCCGCTAATTAACCCCACGGCAGCGGACAGGCCACCCCCGGTGTCCCCCGCTCGTGGTTGGGGACTGCGGGTGGCCCTGCTGTGTCCCCTGGGGGTGACACGGAGCCCCGGGGTGGGTCCCCAACCCCTTCAGAGCCACCCGGGGGTGACACGGAGTCCCCGGGCCACCCAAATCTGTCCCCAACCCCATAAAGGGGCGGAAAAGTGACACCCCTGGGTGTCCCCTCCCCGCCCTGTCCCCTCCCTGGTGTCCCCTCTGTCCCACCCCTGTGTGACGGCACGGTCCGAGGGTGGGACACGGGGACCTGGCGCGTCTCCCCGTGGCGTTTGGGGGTCCCTCAGGCCTCGCTGTCCCCTGATGTCACCTGCTGTCCCCGTGTCCAGCCGCTGCTGTGACAAGAAGAGCTGCGGGAACCGCAACGAGACCCCCTCGGACCCCGTCATCATCGACAGGTGCTGGGGACACCGGGGACACTGGGGACATCAGGGGACACTGGGGACGCTGGGGACATCGGGAGACCTCGTGGCCACCTGGAGGGGGTGGCAGCCACCGGCGATGTCCCCAGGCTTGGGGACATGATGCTGATGAGACAAGGGACAGCACAGGGCGCTCCGGGTGTCCCCAGGGGGTGACAGCGGTGACAGATGTCACATCAATAATGGAGGTGGCACTGGCACGCTGGGGACATCTCAGGGTGGCTGTGTCCCTGTCCCTGAGGCCACCGTGGTCCCTCTGTCCCTGTCCCCACCGGGGTCCTCCTGCCTGTCCTGGTGTCACCTCCCTGGTGTCCCCAAGCCAAGCCCAGGGTTGTCACTTGTTGTCCCCTTGTCACTGCCACTGTCCCCGTGTCCCCTGTCCCGCAGGTGTCCTGGGGCTGTCCCCACCATGGCGCTTTTGGGGTCACAGGACCCCCCTGGGACCGGTGTCCCCGTGGGAGGTGACACCCCGATGGTTGGTGGCAGTGTCCTAAATGTCCCAAATGTCCTGAGTCCCCTGACTTTTGGGGTGTCACCCAGTTTCAGGCATGTCCCCAGCCCGCCCCAGGACTTTTGGGGTGTCCCCAACCCTCATCCCCATCACTTCTCGGGGGGGGTCACCCACTTCCAGGAGTGTCCCCAACTTGTCCCCTCAGCCACAGGACTTTTGGGGTGTCCCCAGTCCCCTCTCCCTTTTCCCAAGACTTTTGGGGGTCACCAGTTCCAGGAGTGTCCCCAACCCACCCCAGGACTTTTGGGGTGTCCCCTGTCCCTATTCACAACACTTTTGGGGTGTCCCCAACCTGCCCCAGGACTTCCAGGGTGTCCCCATTCGCAGCACTTTTAGGGTGTCCCGTGTCCCCATCCCTGTCATTTTTGGGATGTCCCCAACCCACCCCAGGGTTTTTGGGGTGTCCCCTGTCCCCATTCCTAGGACTTTTGGGGTGTCTTCAGTCCCCTGTCCCCATCCCTGTCCCTTTCAGGGTGTCCCCAACCTGCCTCAGGGCTTTTGGGGTGTCCCTGTCCTCATCCCCATCACTTTTGGGGTGTCCCCAACCTGCCTCTGGGCTTTCGGGGTGTCCCCTGTCCCCATCCCTGTCATTTTTGGGGTGTCCTGTGTCTGCTCTCCTCACCCCTGTCACTTTTGTTGTGTCCCCTGTCCCCATCCCCAGGACTTTCGGGTTGTCCCCTGTCCCTGTCCTCAGGACTTTTGGGGTGTCCCCAGTCCCCTGTCCCCATCACTTTCGTTGTGTCCCCTGTCCCCATCCCTGTAATTTTTGGGGTGTCCCCAACCTGCCTCAGGGCTTTTGGGGTGTCCCCTGTCCCCATCCCTGTCACTTTTGGGGTGTCCCCTGTCCCCATCCCCAGGACTTTTGGGGTGTCCCCTGTCCCCACTCCTATTACTTTTGGGGTGTCCCCAGTCCCCTGTCCCCATCACTTTCGTTGTGTCCCCTGTCCCCATCCCTGTCACTTTTTTTGTGTCCCGTGTCCCCATCCCTGTCACTTTTGGGGTGTCCCCAACCTGCCTCTGGGCTTTCGCGGTGTCCCCTGTCCCCATCCCTGTGTTTTTTGGGGTGTCCTGTGTCCCCTGTCCCCACCCCTGTCACTTTCGTTGTGTCCCCTTTCCCCATCCCCATCACTTTCGGGGTGTCCCCTGTCCCCATCCCCGTCACTTTCGTTGTGTCCCCTGTCCCCATCCCCAGGACTTTTGGGGTGTCCCCAGTCCCCTGTCCCCATCATTTTCGGGGTGTCCCCTGTCCCCATCCCCGTCACTTTCGGGGTGTCCCATGTCCCCGTCCCCGTCCCTTTCGGGGGGTCACGCAGGGCCAGCCGTGTCCCCATCCCTCCCGCGGGTCCCCCCCTGTCCCCCGTGTCCCCGTGTCCCCCCCCGGGCCAGCCCCGCTGGTTTGAGAGCGCGCTAAGTGCCCCTCTCGCGGCGTTAATCAAATTACCCGGCAGCGAAAATTGACGCTTCTCATTAATTAGCCACGATTATGCTAATTGCGCATTCAAATTTATGCGCCGCGAGCAGAAGGTGCTCGGCAGCGGCGCCGGGCATTTGCATATTCAATGGTAATTAGCGATGCTAATTAATGCGCCGGCCCCGTATTTTTAACTCGCGGGGGTTCAGCCCCAGCCCCCCTACCTGGGGCTGGGATTTGGGGGATTTAGGGGGATTTTTGTGGGGTTTTTTTGGGGGGAGGTTTGGGGTCCCCCCGGCCGCGCTGTGCCGGGGATGGCGGGGCCGTTTTCGGGGTGGTTTTTGGGGCGGTTTCCGGCGTTTTTGGGGCGTTTTTGGGGCGTTTTCCCGCCCCTTCCTTGCCCTGAATACCACCCGGGAATGGAAATGGGAATGGGGGGAATGGGGGGACCCCCCCTTTTCCTGTGTTGTCCCATAAGGTGGGACCCCCTTTCTGTGGGGTCGGGACCCCCTCAGTGTGAGATCCTTTTTAGTGGGGTCCCCCTTTTCCATGGGGTCCTAGAAATGAGACCCCTTTTTGTGGGATCCCCTTTTTCCATGGGATCCTATAAATGAGATCCCTTTTTGTGGGATCCCCCTTTTCCATGGGATCCTCTAAATGAGATCCCTTTTTGTGGGATCCCCTTTTTGTGGGATCCCCCTTTTGTGGGATCCCTCTTTTTTTGGGATCTCCCCATTCCATGGGATCCTCTCTCCTTGTGCCCCCTCCTTCCATGGGATCTAATTTTTGTGGGATCCCCCTTTCCATGGGATCTGCTTTTTGTGGGATCCCCCTTTCCATGGGATCTGCTTTTTGTGGGGTCGCTGCTTCCTGGGATCCTCTTTCCCTGGGATCCCCACACCGTGGGACCCCCTTTCGCCAGGATCCCCTTTCTGTGGGACCCTTTTTCCATGAGATCCCCTTGTTTTTTGGGATCCCCTTTTTTTGGGATCCCCCTTTTCCATGGGAATCCCCTCTCCGTGAGGCCCCTTTTCCATGGGATCCCCTTTTTGTGGGATTCCCATTCCCTGGGGCCCCCTTTCCATGGGATCCTGCCCTCCATGGCAGCTCCTTTTTGTGGGATCCCTTTTTGTGGGGTCCCCTCGTCCAGGGTGCCCCTTTCTTGTGGGATTCCTGGGACACTTTTTTCTGGGATCCCCTTTTTGTGGGATTTCCTCTCCCTGAGACCCCTTTTCCATGGGATCCTCTTTTTCTGGGACCTCCTTTTGTGGGATCCCCTTTTTTGTGGGATCCCCTTTTTTGTGGGATCCCCTTTCCCTGAAAACCCTTTTTTTTGTGGGATCCCCTTTGTTTTGTGGGATCGCCATTCCCTGGAATCCTCCTCCATGTCCCCCCAGCCTGACCCGGGGGTGACCCCACCTGGGGTCCCGCAGATGTCCCCAGACCTCCGTGTGACCCCAGGGGTGGGCCCAGGGGTCCCAATGTTCCCAGGGATCCCGGTGTCACCTCCAGCGGGATGGGGACGGGGAGGGACACTGGGATGGGACATGGGAATGGGGACACTGGGGATGGGGACAGGGAGGGACACTGGGATGAGGACACTGGGATGGGATGAGGACAGGGTGGGACATTGGGATGGGGTGGGACATGGGAATGGGGACACTGGGGATGGGGACAGGGTGGGATACTGGGATGGGATGGGACATGGGAATGGGGACACTGGGATGGGAACAGGGTGGGACACTGGGATGGGATGGGGACACTGGGGATGAGGACAGGGTGGGACACTGGGATGGGATGGGGACACTGGGGATGAGGACAGGGAGGGACACTGGGGTGGGACACTGGGATGGGATGGGGACAGGGTGGGACATTGGGATGGGATGGGACATGGGAATGGGGACACTGGGGATGGGGACAGGGAGGGACACTGGGATGGGGATGCTGGGATGGAGTCACTGGGATGAGGACACTGGGATGGGAACCTGCGTGTCTCCCACCCCATTGTCCCCAACAGTGTCACCAGTGCCACGGCAGGGGGGACATTGGGATGGGGACACTGGGATGGGATGGGACACAGGGATGGGGACGCTGGGATGGGGACAGAGCAGGACAGAGGGGTGGGGACAGGGTGACATGGTGGGATGGGGACAGGAAGGGACAGCTGGATGGGGACAGTGGATAGGGACAAGATGGGGACACTGGGGTGGGGACAGGGTGGGACACCGGGATGGGGACAGGGTGACATGGTGGGATGGGGACAGTGGAAGAAGGACAAGATGGGACATTTGGATGGGGACAGAGCAGGACAGGGATGGGGACAACGGGATGGAGACAGGATGGGGACACCAGAATGGGGATGGGGAAGAGGAACTGCAGAACAGGGACAGGATGGGACATTGGGATGGGGACAGGATGGGGACACTGGGACAGGGACAGGATGGGACATTGGGATGGGGACATTGGGACAGGGACAGGATGGGGACAGGGATGGGACAGGGACAGGGACAGGACAGGGACAGGGAGGGGACAGGGACAGGGACAGGGATGGGACAGGGATGGGACAGGGACAGGGACAGGGATGGGACAGGGATGGGACAGGGACAGGGACAGGGATGGGACAGGGACAGGATGGGACACTGGGATGGGGACACCAAGATGGAGATGGGGACAATGACGGGTGGTGACAAGAAGGGACAGGATGGGACACCAGGATGGGGACACTGGGATGGGGACAGGATGGGGAACACTGAGTTGGGGATGGGGACAATGATGGGATGGTGACAAAAAGGGACAGGATGGGGACACCAGGATGGGAATACTGGGATGGGGATGAGGACAATGGGATGGGGACAACGATGGGGTGGTGACAAGAAGGGCCAGTAGAACAGGGACAGGATGGGGACACTGGGATTGGGGACACCATGGGGACACGTTTGTCCACCTTTTTTTTTATTTTTTTTTTTAATTTTTTTTTTTTTACCCCATTCCAGGTTTTTCCTCAAGTTTTTCCTCAAGTGCAACCAGAACTGCCTGAAAAACGCCGGGAACCCGCGGGACATGCGGCGCTTCCAGGTGACACTTGGGGACATCACCTAGAGGGTGGAGGGGACACCAAAAAGGGGTTCAGGTGACCCCAAAAAGATTTCCCCAAAGGGGTTGAGTGGAATCGAGTCCCCAATTCCCATAGATTCCTTTGAAAAATCCTAAATTTACTGCCATCCCAAAAAATCCACCACCACCCTATAAAAGGTGACACTTCCAGGTGGCATTTGGGGACATCATGGAGAAAATCCCAAAAAGGGGTTCAGGTGACCCCAAAAAGATTTCCCCAAAGGGGTTGAGTGGAATCGAGTCCCCAATTCCCATAGATTCCTTTGAAAAATCC